AAAAAAAAAAGAAAAGAACCCATAAGGGATACAACATCTCTTAAGAAATGTCTGTAATAAACCATTAATCCAGCTCTATTAACTCTCAAGAACCAACCATGAGCTGAACAATAGTCACCAAGCTCAAGCTCTAGTACACACACATACACACATGTACACACACATTCAAACACAAAAGTATAATCGACATTTAAAATAAGAATCAGAGAGATCGGGCTGGGCACTGATGGCATATATCTGTAATCCCAACTAGTAGGCTAAAATCTGAGGATCACAGTTGAAAGCCAGCCTGGCTAAAAAGTCTGTGAGATTCTCATCTCCAGTTAATCAGCAAAAAGCCAGAAGAGAAGCTGTAGCTCCAATGGAAGAGTGCCACCCTTCAGCAAAAATCAAGGAAAAGCACAGGGTCCTAAATTCAAGCTCCAGTACCAGCGCACAAAAAAAAAGCATCAGGGTGTGACTTGTAACAAAGTTGTGACTTTGTGACTCAGTGGTAGAGTACCTGCCCAGCAAGTTCAAGGTTCTGAGTTAACCAAGTTAAATGAATGAATCAATGAATGAGTTAGTAAATAAGAGAAAGTCTCACTTCAATAATGAAAAAATAATCCTAGGTCAATGGTTTAGGAATACCTACTTATGCTAGTGGTATGATCCTGAACTCAAGCTCTACCACAGAATAATAACAACAGCTTGGTCCTGGCACAAAAACAGGCCTGAAGACCAATGGAACAGACTAGAAGACCCAAAAATAAAGCCATACACTTACAGTAGAAAAAAACCTCTTCAATAATTGGGGAAAGTGGACATCCATATGTAGAAAACTAAACCTGGATCCCTGTTTGGCAACCCTGCACCAATATCATCAACACAAAGTAGATCAAAGACTTCAACATCAGACCTGAAACTTTGAAACTACTGCCAAGATGGAGCAGGAGATACATTAGAACAGATATAGGCAGGAACTTTTTGAAGAGTCCCAGGAGAACAGCAAATAGGAGACATACTTTACAAAAGGGATTACATCAAAATAAAGTTTCTACACAACAAAGGACTTAGTTACTAAATTAGAAAGACAGCCAACAGACAGAATAAATTTTTAGCAACAATATACCCAACAAAGGCCTAATATCCAAATATACAAGGAGCTCAAAAAATTAACATCCCTCAAAACTAATAAACCAATCAATAAATGGGCAGAGGAGTTTAAGAGAGGCTTCTCAGAAGAAAAAGAATGGCAGACACATGAGGAAATGCTCAATACCCTGGACATAAAAGAAATGCAAATAAAAAACGAATTTGAGATTCCAGCTCATCCCTGTTAAGACTGGCAAACATTAGAATTTAAACAACAAATGTTGGCTGGGTATGAGGAAAAGGAACCCTACTGCATTGTTAGTGGGAATGTAAACTAGTACAATCACTCTTGAAAGCAGTTTGGAGGTTTCTCAAATAACTAAACATAGAATCTTTCCTATGGCCCAACCATAATACTCTTGGGTATCTACCCAGATTATTACAAGGCAGAATACATAAAGACATTTGCTCCAGGCACCAGTGGCTCATGCCTATAGTCCTAGCTTCTCAGGAGGCTGAGACCTGAGGATCACGGTTCAAGGCCAACCCAGGCAGAAAAGTCCCCATGAGAATTTTATCTCCAATTAACTACTCAAAAACCAGAAGTAGCACTGTGGCTCAAAGTGGTAGAGTGCTAGCCTTGAGCAAAAGAGCTCAGAGCTCAGTCCCTGAGTTCAAATCCCACAACAACAGCAAAAAAAAGACATTTGCACATCCCTGTTTCATTGCTGCACTATTCACAATAGCCAAATCATGGAAAGAGCCCAGATAACCTACAACAGATGAGTGGATCAATAAAATGTGGTATATAGAGAGAATGGAATTTTACTCAGCCATTAGAGAGGATAAAATTATGTCATGTGCAGGGAAATGGATGGACCGACAACAAATCATGCTGAGGTAAGCCAAATACCGAGGGATAAACAGTGCCCATTTTGTCTCATATATGGAAGCTAGATCTAAACTATAACTGGACATGATAACCTCTAGGCATTCACACACAAATAGACTAAAGGAGGATACCCTTAGAGGAGACCCCAAAAGTGTAACTTCTCTGAAATTTTAAAATACTATTTATAGGAACAAATTCCAAGAAATGGAAACATGGGTTTTTTGTTTGTTTGTTTTTTGTCGGTTGTGAGGCCTGAACTCTGGGCTTGGGCGCTGTCCTTGTGCTCTTCAGCTCAAGGCGAGCACTCTACAGCTTGAGCCAAAGAGCCACTTCCGGTTTTCTAGTGGTTTATTGGAGACAAGGGTCTCACGGACTTTTCCTGTGCCCTGCACGGGCTGGCTTTGAACCATGATCCTCAGCTCTCAGCCTCCTGAGTAGCTAGGATTACAGGCGTGAGCCACCCAGCTGGAAACATGGGTTTTTGTTTTCAGTGGTAGTGGTGGTGGTGTTTCTTCTTACTATTGAGGTTTTTTCCAGAGAGGGCAAGGGGAGCCAGAGAAAGGAAAGAGAAAGAGTGAACTAGAAAACTAATCATGAGGGCTGGGAAGGTGTCTCAGTGGTAGAGTGCTTGTCTTGCATGCATGAGACTCTGGGTTCGATTCCTCAGCACCACATAAGCAAAAAAGAAAAAAGCCAGAAGTGGCACTGTGGCTCAAGTGGTAGAGTGCTAGCCTTGAGCTGAAGAGCTGAGGGACAGTGCTCAGACCCAGAGTTCAAGTCCCACACCGACCAAAAAAAAAAAAGGCAACGAAAACTAATCATGAATAGCAATCATGCTATTAGGTATACACTATATAGAAAATGAACACATAACTTATGGGCAGGGATGGGAAGATGAACTGGAGGAAAGTGAAGGAAAGGTTGACACTGTTCAAAAAAGGGAATGTACTTTTACCTGACATGAAATAAGAATACTTGCTTAATATGCTCTAGGGGTTGGGTTAATTTTTAGCAACGCCAATGTTAACCCTCACTCTCTCCTAGGAAAAAAATCCTGAAGACCCACATGTTATTTATCTGATAAATCAGATTAAATGTAATGATATTTATTGTAATAATTATCTGCTTGGAATGAAGGATGGCAAGAAGGAGAAAAGGAAAAGAGATTAAAAAGGTAGAACAAGTCTTGCAAACAGCTTATTCTGACATTCTCTCACATATACCCAGTTTCTTTCAAAGATAAATATCAAGGTCAACCTCAAAAATGAAACATTAATTTAATTAGATTTTTTTACACTAAGCTTTTAATTATTTTCCCCATAAACAAAATTCACCATCATTAAACTTCATTCCCTTACCTGTCTCAGTTTCCCCATGTCTCCAGCAGTCTCTCCTCCTGGTAAAACGCATTCTTTTGGTCCAATCTGAATCAGAAGAGACTCAAGATTGGAGAGCTGATCATTATCAGGAAACTCACATAGTCCTAGCTTCCTCTGCAGGGTATCAACATACCCAACTCCAACCTGTCTTTGACCATCAACTGTCGACATTTTAACACCCATAACACCAATGGAAGTTGACATGTCATTGGTACCAAAGAGAATATCTTCAAACTGGGACAGATTGCCAGGAGAAGCCTAAGCAAAAAAAAAAGAAGGAAAGAAAAAGAAAAAGAAAAGAAAATTTAAACCACTGAACAGATTAGTAAAATGTACTAACATCAATTATTCAACCTTAATAAATTTTATTAATAAAGTATCTTATGAAAAAACCCTGCCAGTTAGATGTCCCAATTATTATCCCATTTGCTGTATCTCTCCTTCCTTTCCCAATTATTTACCCAACATATCTAAAGACCAATTTACAGAAAGTGATTTTGAAAGTCCGAGGTGATGGTTTATGACTGCAGTTCCCACACTTGGGAGGATGAAGCAGGAGTATTTCAAGTTTGAGGCCAGCCGGGGTTACTATCTCAAACTTGTTTCAAAAAAGGTACAATGTCTGCCTATGTGCTACTGAGGATCGAGGTTCAAAGTCAGCCTGGGAAGGAACATCTATAAGATTTTTTTTTGGGGGGGTGGTAAGTTGTGGGGCTTGAACCCTGAGCTTGGGCACTGTCCCTCGGCTCTTCAGCTCAAAGCAAGCGCTCTACTGCTTGAGCCACAGTGCTACTTCCGGTTTTCTGGTGGTTAACTGGAGATAAGAGTCTCATGGACTTTCCAGCCCGGGCTGGCTTTGAACCGTGACCCTCGGATCTCAGCCTCCTGAGTAGCTAAGAGTCTCATGGACTTTCCAGCCCAGGCTGGCTTTGAACCGTGACCCTCGGATCTCAGCCTCCTGAGTAGCTAGGAATACAAGCATGAGCCACCAGTGCCCGGCCTATATAAGACTTATAACTCCAATGAACTACTCAGAAAAAGCCAGAAGTGGTGCTTTGGCTCAAGTGGCAAAGCACTAGGCTTGAGCATAGAGAGGCTCAGGGACAGAACCCAAACCCTGAGTTCAAACCACAGGAACAGGAAAAAAAAAAAAAGAATTTAAAAGGAAAGATATGGCTCAATAGCACAGCTATACCACCCAAAACCACCACCACCTCCCAAAGAAAAAAAAAGCAAAATACTTACCTTAAATGCCATATACCAATCATTCTCCTTGGATGCTTTATTTCCAGCTCTATTCTTGAAAACTTCAACTCTATACTGACGAACCAGAAGAAGATCTTTTACAAAAGACTCAAAATTCATTTTACTAAGCACAACACTCTGCAGAGTCTTTGCTCCTAAAAATAAATATTATAGATGAGAATTTAAGGTAATAAGTATTTGAGTACCCAACACAATCTTCCCAACCTAATGTTCTCTCAGGATTTCAATCATTTAAAAAAACATGTTATCAAGTTTTTATTTGATGTTTCAGAAACTGACAGATGAAGGGTACAAAATGGTAAACAGACAAAACACCTGATTCTGTGAAACCTACCTGTCAGCATAAAATACTGGAAAAGATTAAAAAAAAAAAACAAGTAGACACACATATAGTTAATCTTAACTTGTCCTTATATAAAAACTACAAACTTGAGGTATCATTTGTCTAACACAACCCCTGGACTTAATATTTAAATATTAATTAATAAAAACTAAAGCTGGGCAGAGTGGCATGAACCAGTTACTTCCAGCTACTTGAGAGGCTGAGCTAGGATAGCTTGAGGAATTCAAGGATTCAAGACCAGACCAAGCAACACAGGAAGACCTCATCTCAAAACCGAACTGGGCACGGTACACTCTGAGGCTACAGCAGAAGGATCATATAGTGAAGACCAGGGTAGCCTGTACTACACAGTGAGACCCTAAGTCCAAGCAGGCCTGGTGGCACACATCTGTGGTTCCACTTACTTGAGACTAAGTTAGAAGGATCATAGTTCAAGGCCAGCCAGCCATGACAAATTCAGTAAAAGATTCTATCTAAAAAAATGAAACAAACAAAAGGCCTGGGCACATGGTTCATTCAAATGTTAGGGTTTCTGCTAGTGAGGCCTTACATTCAAGCCAGTTGGTACAAACAAACAAGCAAAATTGCCTGCAAATTATATTTTATACAAACAACCCCCTAAGAAAGAGGTCCATAAATTATTTGGGGCTTGGGCTGGGAAGGTAGCTCAGTGGTAGAGTGCTTGCCTTGCAAGTATGAGGCCCTGGGTTCGATTCCTCAGCACTACATAAGCAGAAAAAGCTGGAAGTGGCACTGTGGCTCAAGTGGTAGAGCGCTAGCCTTGAGCTGAAGAGCTGAGGGACAGTGCCTAGGCCCAGAGTTCAGGCCCCATGGCCAACAAAAGACAAAGATAGATAGATAGATAGATAGATAGATAGATAGATAGATAGATAGATAGATAGATAGATAGATAGATAGATAGACAGACAGACAGACAGGCAGACAGACAGACAGACAGACAGATAGATAAACAGATATTAGAGCATTTGTCCAGCATGTTAAGTCTTGGGCTCAAGCTTCAGCAACACACACAAAATCAGTCATTATCCATTCCACAGTTCAAAATCCAAAGGTTCAGGTGGGTGCCAGTGGTTCACACCAAGCCTAGCTACTCAGGGGCTAAGATCTGAAGATCACATTTAAAGCTAACCCAGACAAATCCAAGAGCCTCTTATCTCCAATTAACCAGTAAAAGGCTAGAACTGGGAGGCATGGCTCAATTGGTAGAGTACCAACTAGTGGAAAACATAGAACAAGAGTAATGGAGTCCTGAATTCAAGTCCTAGCACAAAAAACTTCACTGATAGCTTGGCACAGTGGCATGTGCCTGCTAGTGGAATGTGTGTGTGTGTGTGTGTGTGTGTGTGTGTGTGTGTGTGTGTAATGTGTATTTGCAGATTATTCTGACAATTTCTGAATCTTATAGAGCCAGGCGCTGTTGGCTCACGCCTGTAATCCTAGCTACTCAGGAGGCTGAGATCTGAGGATCGCGGTTCAAAGCCAGCCCGGGCAGGAGAGACCGTGAAACTCCTAT